CACCAGATCTGCAGAACACGGTGGCTGAGGAGGTGGGTGAGGAGGAGGTGGCTGAGGAGCAGGGTGTTGTGGGTCCGATTTCCTGTTGGATGACACCCGAGGCAGCATTCACTGCACTCTATCACATGGACAGACACGAAAGAGGACTCCAGGACTGCGTCAGAGAGGTGAGAATGACGGGGTCGGTGTGTTCAAAGAAGCTTTTTAGGGAAGGATTAACGGCAACGCGCCTTTTACCATGATAATTTTTATACTTGCCTATGTTTTAATTGCCCCTCTAGACAGTGGAGGCCGCTATAGCCAAGAAGCCAGCCAGGAAAAGATGCACTGCATCCACCCATCCAAGGTCACGCTAGAGTAAATTCCAAAGGTGTCACCGATTTAAATACAAGAAAATAGGAGCATAAGAATCCTGGAAAAATTCAAGAGTAGAGACCTCTAGGGCCTTAAATAGGGAGATCTTTTTAAATAAGGCTCAAAAATTCAGTGACCATTAAAGGAAGATTGTGAAACTGATTAATTAAACCAAATTAAAAACTCACATATGACAAAAACAGCACAGATGATATGAACATTAGGCACTGGGGAATTGCTGCAATTACCGTGGGTACAGCAGTATCATGATGCTTGCGTAAGACAATGTTCCTTCTTTAGGACGATGCATGCTTACCTGGGTTCACAGAAGTTCGACCCCTACCTCACCCATTTGCACACACACACCCGCACACGGAGATAAGGCAGATGAGGAAACCACCGTCAGTGGTTAAATTTAGGGAGCAGATCCGTATCACCTGTCATTGCCCTGTTCGTTCGCTTTATGTATCCACAGTGGAAAGCTGAAAAATACATCATTAACAAAGTCAACAGACCAAACACAAACTGAAAAAGCTATCTGCAACTCGTATCCTAGACAAGGGCTAGCCTTCCTAATACATAAAAGAATTCCTATAAATCCAGGAGAAGAAATCTCCTAGCCCAACAGTAAAGTGAGCAATGGAGAAAGAAAGTTCAGGAAGAGAAATACAAGTAGGAGAAGATGCAAAATGGCACTCCCAGGGGATCTGTGTTAACTGAGGGAGATAACTGCAGTTCTCAGAGCATGAATTACAGTCCAGAAGTCAGTCAGCACGGAGCTAGCGATGTGCACTGCCAGCCCTGGAAAAGTGCAAAGTGATAAACCAGCAGCAGCCAGGTGATTTATCACTGTCGGAGGCAGAAAGGCACTTAGCTGTGCCCAGCAGTCTGACATCTGCCAGTGTGCTTTATGGGCACTCTTGCATACAGCTAAGGTGACATCCTCCAGTTGGCCTATTCAATCATTATTTATTAGCAGAAAAGCCCAGCAGCGATCTGTGTCCCCATCTCTGAGGTTCTGGTTAGGTAAGCGTCACATATCCAGCCCAGGGAGCCCCAGCAGCTCTAAAGGAGAAGGTCTCGCACACCAAGGAGAAGACAACAAGATACAGTACTAAGTTTTAAAAAAATATGCCACTATGTCTTGCATTGTGGGATTTAAAATGAAAAAGAAAAACTAGAATTTTTTAAAAAATTCTTTTAAAAATTTCAGGGGATTGAGGTCATGAGAAGAAAAAAATAACAATTTTTAGGAGTTTCTTCCCATCAGAATATGCAGGTGGTTCCCTTCCTGGAGGAAGCAGTCAGTGTGGCTCCCTCCGAAGGCCGGGCCAAGAGAAGCTTGGATGGATCTTCTCACCCTCCTTCAAGGTCTTTTTTCTATTTAAGCCACATTTCTGTTTTGCCTACTCAAACAGGAAAATGTAATTTAAAAGAAAGTCAAGACCTTTACCCTGATTTTTAAATAAAGATTTCCTAAATGTAGATGACACTGGGTGTAAAGCTGATTTTAGATGTTATCCGGTCAAAATTCTGATTTTCAACCTTTTACTTGTGTATAAGAGAGGCTGTGGATGGGAGGCAGACTCTTCTCAGGTCCCTCTGGGCCCCCAGCCTCCCACGCTGCCAACAGCCAAAGCCCAGTGCGCAGGGGTCCACGCCCCACCTGGCCACGCCCCTCAGCACCCGCACCCGCCCCCCCCCCCAGGGCGCTCCAGGCCTGGTCCTGCAGGACCAGCGATCTCTGAAGCCTTCTGAAGGCAGCATCCAGCATTGGAAAGGGAAAGAAGCGGAGAGGGCGGAGAGGGCGAGCAGCGAGCTGCAGTTCTGCGGGGTCCCCCTGCCGGCTGGGGCGAGCCGGTCACCAAGGCCAACACTGCTGTTGGTGAGCGCTGGGAAGCCACCGCTGCCAAGGAAGCTGGGACAGCGGCTCCTGGGCTGGTGACAGGGTCGCCCAGAGCCTGGCCCTTTCGGCCCCAGCCCCAGCCACACGGTTCCTTTGTTTGTACCAAGCAATTCCACGGTCCCGGGGCTGGCTTTTCCACCCGACGTCATTCCTTGCGTGGAGAACCACACGGGCAGCGTCTCTGTCCCCACAGGGAAAGTGGCCTGGCCCAGTGTCCCCCTGGCCTGGCCTGAGCCTAAGGGTCCTGCGTGTGTCTCCCGACAAGTCTGGGGCCCTTGTGTAGGCCAAGTTACCACAGCATATATGTGTGAGGTGTGGGGTGAGTGTGTGTTGGGGTGTGTCAGCGTGTATCTGCGTGTGTAAGTGTGGGGTGTGAGTGTGTGTAGGCTGTGCACGTGTGTAAACCGTGTGAGTGGATGCTGATTGTGTGAATATGTTGGCCTGCAGCGTGTGCTTAAGTGCTGGTGTTTGTGCGGATGTCCTGGTGTACAGAATGTTTCTATGTGGCTGTGTATTGTTGCGTGGATGTGAATGTGCATGTGCATTATCTGCGTGTGTATCTTGTGTGTGTCTCTCTGACTGCAAGAGTATATACTGACTGTAAGGGTGGGTGCAAGTGTTGGTGTGTGTGTATGTGACAGAGACAGACAGAGGTGGAGACGGAGATGGAGGTGGAGGCAGGAAGATCTCTCAGTAACCGGACTCAGCTTTGGGTTGTGATCCAACAGAGTCAACCTCTTTAAATGAGGAACTTCTTTTTCATTGACCCAAAGGCCTCAGAGCTCTGGCAGGAAATCTCCAGAAAAATTTACCTTTGAGCAGACATGGCCCTGCACCAGGCCAGAAAGGTTTCAGCCCCAAAGCATCTGGCAGAGGGCTGAGAGCAAGCGAACAAAGGAGTTGGGTAACGAGACGAGGTGGATCGGGGAACAGCCTGTTTGCTCCTGTTAACAGTGGGAAGCCCGCTTCGCCTCTGCAGGGTCACAGCCCTGGGCCGGCGAGGCTGGGCATGCGTGGCCCAGCAGCTGCAGAGTGACGTCCAGGAAGGCATTTGGGAGTCTGTGCTGGGTGATCTTGGGGAAATCGCCCACACTGCAGACTTCAGAGGAAAGCGGTGTGCAAACCTGGCGCTGTCTCCTACCCGGGGAGCCTTGCCTGGGCAGGACCCCGTGATCCCCCTCCTCACCCAACACAGGAACACATGCGACGTCTGTCCCTCGTGACGCGGCCAGTGGGAACAGCTGCCAGGACACAGTGTGAAGCCAGAGGCGAGGCCATTCCGGATAAGGTATGGCACCCCACAAATCTGAGCCACAGACGAGTCCTGCTCTTCCCTTCCCCCAACAGGCTGAAGGAAAAGAGGTGCTCTTAAGGGCCCTGAGCACAAGAGGGGCCTTGGCCTGCTGCTCTGTGCAGTCAAGCAGCCTGCTGCTGTTCCCTAAGTCACCACTTATGTTTAGTAAACACAAATGGAGGATCTGTTGGGGCCAAGTCCTGAGAAGACCACGACGGGTGAGAAACAGATCTCATATGACAGTGGGCAATAAAAGCCACTTTCCCTGTGTTCCTACCAGAGGCCCCTACCTGAGGCAGACGCTGGCTGGGGGCTTCCAATTTTCACCTAATACCCAGTAGCTCCAGTCAATTTTATTTTTAAAAAATCTCCAGAGCCAGGCATGGTAGTGCACACCTGTAATCCCAACACTCGGTAGGCTGAGGCAGGAGGATGGTTGTGAGTTCAAGACCAGCCTGGGCTATATACCAAAACCCTGTCTCAAGAAAGACAAAAACAAAAAAAACCTATGTGCCAGCAACAGCCAGGTAACGGTTCAGAGTGAACCTGCAAAGCACAGGCGTGGAGGGGCGCTGGGAATGGTGATTGTGACCCAGTGCGAGCCCTGTGCTCCTCTGTGCCAGAACCGGGTCGGGCTCTCCTGTCTCCCATGCCTAGCGCGCTGCCTGGCAGGCAGTGGATCCTGAGAACAGTTCAGCAATACTTTTTTCATGTATAGGGGTATCTGACACCAAGTTGATCAAAATCAGAGTACAGCAAGAACCCGCATGAATGATTGACGCCCTCCCCCAAAGCTACTTTGAGGTTGCTTTTCGGACACATCATTGTCCATCGTTTTGCATGTGACACTGCCCGCCTGAGAACAGTGACAGGAGACGGGCAGGCCACGAGATTTCAACAGAACAGTTACCAGACGGGGCCCAGTGGGTTCAAACCACAGGGAGGCACCTCCCACAGGCCAGGGCACCTCCCACAATACCTGTGTGTGCTAACAGGGTGCAGATGGCTAGCAGGGCACACAGAGAGCCACGATCAAAGGGGAGGTACCGCTGCGTGTCTACGGTCCCCACCTAGTGGCACTGCTCACTGCAGTGGGGAGACCGTGCCTTGGAATCCACCAGGAAGGAGCGTGGGGCCATCTCGGGCCCCAGACAGACAGGAAGGGGCCCCCGATATGAACAGAGGGAGAAAAGGGGGAGCACTGTGAGACAAAAGGGGGACACAGTGGGAGGAAGCGGGGCTGTGGCCTCAGTGGACTGTGCTGTGGTTTGGAGGGGGGTGAGGGAGGCCTTGGAGGGGACCACACGACCCCGACCTCGTCCTCTGCTCTCGAGTCCCGGCTGCAAAGTGAGAGCCTTGTTTCATGACACACAGCCCTGCGGCCTTCTTGCCACAGGCGGAAAAGCCACAGGACCCGCTGAGCAGCACAAACCGTGAGCCAAGACAAACCTTTCCTCTCTCTGTTGATTTGCTCAGTGTCCATTACAGGGCTGGGGAGCGTGAGTACTGGCCAGTCCAGGCACATAGGGTCTTCTTTCAGGGGCCACACCAATTCCACGGGGCACACTCTGCACCTTGGGGCTTCCAGATGGCCAGGAGTCCCGGGAGGCCCTGAGGAGGCCTGCAGCGGAGGGGTCAGAGCACTCTCACTGGAGTCCTCGAGCGCGTCCATCACAAGGCCCCACGCCTTCCTGGCCGAGCCGCAGGACAGTGTCCCAGCCTCACTCAGGTTTAGCAACCCTTCCCTGTTGCAAAAACAGAAAAAGGAACCACTTCACGGGAACCTTCGCAGGACAGCCCCCAGGACAGAACGGCAGCCCCAAGTGAAACGCTTGCCTCCCGCGCAACCTCCGGGGGAGAAAGAGGGCAGAAGCTATCTCCAAAACGCGCTCTTGTTAGGACTCTGTCCGAAGCAGTTATTTCTTCTCTCCTGCAGTAGCGGGGATTAAACTCAGGGCCTGCAATTAAACAGCACCCCCAGCTGCTTGTTTATTTCTTATTTCAAGACTTTGATCGTCCTGCCTCAGCCTCCCAAAGTGCTGGAGTTACTGGGGTGCACTGCGGGCACCTGATTTTAAACATTTTCATACTGAATAAAACCTAAAATTAAATTTTTAGAAGTTAACCTTATCCAGGATCAGCGGATCTTAAAAATGAATATTGGCTTCATCAACACATTGCCGGTCTTCTTAAAAGTTTTTTCATGAGTTCCACAGTTGGAAATTCGCTCTCACTGGCGTTCATTTGTAACCCTTCTCTCTTCTCACAGCCATTTGTGGACACGTGATACCTGGAAAAAGAAAATCAGTAGCCAGACGAGAATGAAGGCAGCTGGGCAAGGCCACCCCGCCTTCTCCTTCCGGTCTCCACAGGGCCTTTCCACCTCTGTGTGCTTCTGCTCGTGCTTCTGCCATAGAGTGCCACACAGGCATTGAGGGCAGGCACAGGAGGCTGCCACGGCGGGGAAACCCCACAGGGTGTTGGGGGGCAGCTCGGATATGCAGCCACGCCCAGCGTGGTGGAGGCTTAGGGTGTGAGCCCCAGCACCACACCGGTAAAACGGATGAACCTCATTCAGACACGAATCACAGCCGGGTATGACTCACATGCAAGCCCAGCTACTCAGGAGGCTGAGGCAGGAGGATTGCTGCAAGTTTGAGGCCAATCTAAGCTACACACTGTAGTGAGTTTTCAAGGCCAGCCTGTACTACGTGGTATGGCCTTGTCTCAAAAGGACCAAAAAACTTTAAAAAGTAACTAAAAACCAATGTCACATGCAGCTCAGCAGCAAAGTACGTGTCAGGTAGGCTGGGACCAGCATCTGCCTCTGCACCTGCCCCAAATCACAATAAGCAAACCAAACCCTGTGGGGTTTTCCTTGGCTCATGCAAACACACCAAGAGCGTGAGGGAAACACACAAAATCAACCTTCTGGCTTCATCTGTGTGAGAGGAGCCTGCTGTGTGCGAGAGATTCCTAGAAGCCCAGCCAAAGTGACCTCGGTGCCACCATGGCCCATGACACCTGGGTACGAGGCTAATCCCAGAGGGAGCCCAGGGCTATCACCTCCATCCACTACAGCTGACCGGGAAGGGACAAGTTGGGAGGAGACCAGAATCCTGCCACCCAGGAAGAGTCCCACGTGAGCTCCGGAAGCTAAGTGTCCCTATACAGGGTCCATGCTGTCCCTCCGGGGCCCAAAGCAGGTGGCGACTTTCCTCTGGGAGACAAAGGTACATGACACGATACACAGGAGGACGCAGTGCTGACAGCAGCAGACACTGGGCTGAGGTCCTTTCCTGACTTGGCTGTGTCCCCTGCTCCTGTCCTTGGAATCTAGGGGCAGCTGGGGGCTGCAATGCTTGTGTGATTCTCACAATCGGTCTGGAGTGTGTGTGTGTGTGTGTGTGTGTGTGCGCGCGCGCGTGCATGTCAGGCCTAGTGAAAAGTGATCTTCACTGTGCTCTTCTGAAAGGGTAAGAAGGCTTAGGCAGGTTCGGGAAGGACCGCCAGGGAGACCCGCCCACGGTGAGCACCGGCCCATCCATGGCCTCTTGTGGCTGCTGAACTTGCTCCCAGCCCCTACAGTCCAGGGGACAGAGTCGCTGGCTTTCCGGGGCTCCTCTGTCCAGGGTCAGCCTGGCAAGCCCTGGTCTCTCCCCACGGATTCCAGCTCTGTCCACAGCATGTGAGAAGGCGTGCACTCTGAGCCCCACTGTGTGTGGCCGGCAGAACACACAGGCTGGCTGCGTTGGGAACCACGCTCTACTCTGAAACCAGCTCGGTGCCGGTGTGGGCAAGGCCCTGGGTTCCCTCCCGGGCACCACTGAGAGAGAAGCAGAGCCAGGGAAATGTGTCAAAGTCAGTCTGCAGAATCTCTTCCCTAAACCGGGGAGGGCCAGGGGCCCCACTCTCTGCCTTCCTGAAGCTGCCTCAGGAAAGCCACGGAACTGCCTCGGAGACCAGACAGGCGGGGAGCACCCACAATGGACAGGCTGAGCCCGGGAACCGCAAGCGCCACACCGGAGACAATGAGGTGTGTGTTCTCCCAGGACGGATTACACCTCTCCCGGCTCATAAAGGCTTTTTATGTAGCTCCACTCAGGCGGTACCTAGGCCGGGCAGCCACAGGAGCCTCACACCCCGGCGGCAGAGGCCCTTGGCAGCTGTCCTGTCTGCCACCTCCCATAACCAGGGCTGTCCCTGCCCGGGGCCTCGCCCTCCACCTCCTCCCAGCGAACTCACCAGGCAGCTCCCCACTTCCACCAGCCACAGGGGCAGCACCTCAGGATGGGCGTGGGGCTCCCCACGGGCCCCAGGGCCAGCAGGGCTCTTCAGAGGAATGGTGGCTTCTAACTCACAAGCCCTTTCCTGGGCAGGCACACTGTGGCCCCCTGCTAGCATCCTGACCAACTGTGGCTGCTGCAGGGAGGCTCCTGTGAGGAGGGAAATGCGGGACGACACCCGGGAACCCTCCCTCCCGTGGAAGCAGGACCTTCTGCACATGCTAGGGCTCCACGGGGCCATGTGGGCCTGGAACACACAAGACCCTGGTTCCACTCCAGCCTGTGACCAAACTAGGGGGGGGGGCAGGCTGCTCCACCCTTCTCCAAGTTGGTTTCCAAGAATTTCCCGTCCCCCTCCTGGGCTGGGTCTCTCTGTCCCTACAGTGTCATACCTGTGTGGCAAAGGGGGGGGGGGCATGCCAGCACTGGAGCACCTGGCCAGGCCAGCACAAAGGTCAGGAAGTGTTAAGCCTCCTGCCTCTGACAAAGAAAGGCCAGCTTGGGCTCCTGGGGTGTGGGGAAGACAGCTGTGACTCTCCCTTATCAGTTCACTTTGGTTGAGGAACCCTCTGCTGTGGGGGGGGGGGACAGTGGTCCCTCCCCTCTCACCCCCTCCCAACCCGTTGGTGGGGTGCAGGCCCTGGATAAGGACCACCGGGGACAGCATGACACAGTCAGCTCCCAAAACCCAGCGGCCAGTCCCTGCCTGAGGCCACCTGTGTTCCCCAACTTACCTGGCTGCCAACACAGACACCGCGTGCTCAAGGTGGGCACCGTGGCTCTGACGCTCACTCAGGAGAGGGGACGCCTGGGCACCGCACGTGCTGAGCCCTTTCGGGCCTGGGCTGTCTCTCCTGGGTGCATTTGGAATTAAAAGGTAAATGAGACCAAAATATAAACCAGGAGACTGTGAAAAGCCCTTTAGGACTTTTCCTTTTTCACCCCCAGCGGGGTTCTCTGACATCCGCTGTCTTTCTCCCCATGAGCTAAAATCGGTCCAAGGGCCCAGCAACAAAGCCCCCCTTGGGCAGAGCGCCCCAACCGGGAAGGGTCTTACCGGGCCAATCTCTTGCTGGGAATTGCGGCCCGAGGGGAGGGTGCACTTCCCACTTGTTGGCGTTAGATGGCGACAGAGCTCCATCCCAGGCCCTGAAGCCAGTAGCTAAAAAGGCAAAAGGGAAAAAGGCCGGGAGAGGAGAGGAAGGCACGGCGGGGTGGGGAGGTCGGCAGTGGCTTCTGTGAATGAATTCTTAGGAAGGGGAGGAATAAGCCCACTGGTTCTAGTCTTTGGAACTGAGCTCTAAATCTAGTTCACTGAGAATCACAGCAGGACAAAACGCAGGGGGGGAAATACCCTAACGTGCAAACTTGCAGCAGGTGAGTCGGAGGTGCAGCATCTGCCCCTAAGCGCAAGCTCCAGCGGAGCACCGATTGTCAGCTCCGGCTAAAACGAGCCGCCGGTGAATTGGTCTTAAGGCTGCTCCGCAGATGCTGAAGGGGCGCTAGGGTGCCAGGCAAGGTAAGCTCGGCCCCGCTCTATCCAGCTCAGGCCCAGCAGAGGAGAGCCAGGCGCTGGTGAAAACTCCTCTCCCACTGGGGAAGCCGGAGCCATTGGCGCGCGCGCGCGCGCACACACACACACACACACACACACACACACACACGCACACACGCACACACAGGCACAGAAAAACTGGAAGAGCCGCCGAAGCAGCACCCACCGCTGCCGCCTCCACCTCCCACCCGGGAGCCGGAGCTAAGGCTCCGCCGCTGGGAAACGAGCCTCCCGAGCCCCCGCCTGCGGCCCGCCTCGCATCCTGCCAAGGCGCAGCACCCGCAGCGTGTGAACCAGCAAACGTTACATAAACGATTTACCATTTTCAGGTGCGATAACATCGACCCGAGGCCGATAAGGGGCTTTAGTGAAACCCAATGCCGGCTTGGGGAGTAACTGAGGCTTCTCTTCTCGCCTTTCTAGCCCCCCACCAGGCCCCCGTTTATCTCTTCCTCTCTCCAAATTACTGGGGGCCGTTCACACCTCTCCTTCCCCAGCTCCTCCTCGTTCTCTTCCCAAGCCAGTCCTGAAGGGCTTCAGAGACGGTGCTTTTTTCAAATTCCCTTTTCCTGCTTTGTAACTTAGAAACCGGTAGCATCATGCGGCAAAGCAAATGTGTCCGTTGGGAAAGGCCCTCTCCTCCTTCCCTTCCCTCTTCCTCCTCTCTCTGTTCCTCTCTCTCTCACCCCAAGGCCGGCTTCCACCTGCACTTTGTAAGTCTTCCTGCCTCAGGGGCTCACCCGGCCACACTGGCAGAGCCTCGCTGACATTCTCCCTCCTGAGTCCTGGCAGCTGAGGTTTTCATAGGCTTCCCTGGGTCTGCTTGGGGTCCGGGTGGGGAGGCCCCGGGATCTAGCTGGGTCTAACATTTACTCCCACAGAGAGTCTGACACTTAGAAAGCTATTATGTGTACCCGTGTACATCGGGCGACTTCCACCAGCTTGCATGGCTCCCTATTGGTCACGCTATTACCCCCAAGGTGTAGCAAAATGCTTTCCATAGAGACTGCTGTACACAGATGTGGAGGCCGAGGCAGGCGCTTCTGCCCTGAGCCTGGCCCTTCCCCTGCACATTCCCGCCCTGCTCCGGTCCAGGGGTTCAGGGGTTCAGCAAATCCAGCCGGCAGCTCCCTCCATCAGCACGAGCTCAGGGTGTAACATGGCCGGTAACCTTCGGCTCCAGAGAGCCCTCCTCTTCTCCTCCTCCTCCTTCCTCTTTCTCTTCTTCTCTTCTCCTTCCTTTCCCTCTTCCCCCTCTCTGTTCCTCTCTCTCTGTCTCTATTTTGATATTTTCCCCCCTCCCTTTATGAGAGACAGATATTAATCTGTCTGGTGTAAAGGTAAACTGAGGCACCGACACCTCAGGCTGGACCCTGTGCTTGCCTGGCACAGCCCAGTGCTATGCCTGGAGCCAGCGGAGTCCCTGGGAGCCCCTCCGCCATGAATGCCTCGACCTCTGAGCTCCATGGGGACAGGTTTCATGCTCTGTGGGGTTTGCTTGGAGCGCCCTATTGTGCGTCTTCCCACAGGCATGCTGCCTGCACTGCACTGTGGCTATCACTTGGGATCTGCTTCAAAAAGATGTGGGCTGATGCTGGACAGGTGGAAAGAATTTGCAGGGACACCCACGCTCTTGGCAAGAGAGAGAAGACAGGAGGCTGTGCTGGCCCTGTGACCAGAGCCCCAGGTCCCCTGAGAGTAGTGCCACACTGCCTCTTCCCAGAGTGCCTCTGCCGACTGAGCCTCTACCCCTGCAGGGACCACGGTAAGCAGCCAGATGTTCAGTCCTAGACGCCTGCCGCCCGCCCCTGCCGGTGTGTCGCCTGCCCGTAGAAAGACTGTGGCTGCTGCTTCAGACAGTGTGGACTAAGCTGGGACAGTGCAGAGCCTGCGTGGCCCTCAGCAGGGCACAGATCCTGCAGAGAAGCCCTGAGCCAGGCAGCCAGCTGGGAGAGGGTGAGGAGGCCAGCTACGCCCTAGGTCTCCCTGTCGGGGACAGGGGTTCCTAGCGAAGAAAACAACTCACACTGAAGCATGGGGGGGGGGGTGGCTTTGAAAGAAAGAGAAAGAAAAGAAAAGAGGAGGGCTGGGATATATTCAGTGAGAGAGCACAGCATCCTGGGCTCAGGCCTCAGCAGCCCAGAAGGAGAGGGAGAGGGAGGAAGAGGAAGAGAAGGGAGAGGGAGGGGAGAGGAGAGGAGAGGGAGGGGAGGGGAGGGGAGGGGAGGGGAAGAGAAGGGAGGGGAGGGGGGAAGGAAGGGAGGAGGGGAAGGGAGGGGAGAGAAGGGGAGGGGAGGGGGAGGGGAGGGGGAAGAGAGGGCAACCCAGGAGGTATGTTTGAACAATAACCTCATTTCGCCCTCCAGATAAAACAATTCAGCAAGCAGAGCCCACTCCGAGGTCCCCTAGGGAGGGGGCACCAGAGAGCCAGGGGCTCCCCGAAGAATCCTGACAGACTTTCCACCTCCCACAATTATTAAGTCCTTCCAAACATGCTGTGCTTTGTGAGGCGTGCATCAGCGGGAGCCCCGCCACAGGTCTCCTTCAAGACTTCCAACCTCTTTGTAAAACTTTATTTTTAACGGATGCAAAAGCATACGAGAGTTGCATGTATTACCAGGGACATTTGGGACTCATGTCCAGTGTTCAGAGTCCTAGGTGCCCCTTTTGGACCCCGCCTTCCTCCTCTCCTGCTCATCCCTGTCATGGGTATAAAGGCACTTGGAGGCTGAGGCAGGACTGCTGTGAGTTTGAGGCCAGCCTGGGCTACAAAATGAATTCAAGGAACAGCCTGAACAGCCTGTTTCAAAACTACCAAAAAAAGACCTGGATGGTGTTGGGTCGGGGCAAGATGAGTCCATTAGGACACACTGGGGGGCGGGGGTGACCTCGAAGTCCCATAAACACTTCCGGAGAGGAAGAGCAGACTACACAAACACCCAGTGTAGACACTTTAATAGTATTTGTTTGTTGGTGGATAAAACCGAATGTTATGCTAATATCACAGAAGCAGATCTGGCCCCGTCAGAAAAATCTGTTTTGAAAGGGAGATTGCCAGGAGCCCTCAAGCCCAGCCCTCGGCCTGCAGGTCCCAGAGGCTCCTGGGCCCACACCCCTGGGGAGAAGCCCTGGTGCAGGCGGGGAATGCAGCCCCGTGCTCCTCCCAGGAGATGCCCGCCAGACGTGCGATGCCAGCTGATCATCGAATTTCCCAGGGCTCAGCAGAGCTCTACAGATATCATCAAGACAGCCGAGGCACACATGGGCAAGGGGGGAAACAGTACCATACCGTGGGGATTTTCATGCCATTGAATGTGCCACATGGGGAAATTCCAAGTTTGCCAAACTCGGGAGAAATACGAGATACCATTTACAAGCCTTGTTTAAGTTAAAGGAAATGTTATTATAGTGCATTAACCTCTCTATTTAAATCAACTAATTTATTAATGGATATGTGGGAACTGGGACTCAAACCCAGGGCCTTGGCCATGCTGGGCACCCCCAGCCCAGTCCTTAGGATGAAGTTATCCAAAGACAGCCGGAAGCTGCTGTGGCCAGGAGATGTGGGGTGCGTGTGAGCTGGAGCCCATTGCAGAAAAAAGCAGTTGGCATGGACGGCAGTGATATTTACTAGAAAACCAACCTGCTTCCAGCAGACTCAGCCGGTGTGTGATGATAAACCAACTGTGCCGTGCGTCCTGATGCGGGCAGGGCGGGGCCTGGGCCCCCGCACCCTCGCCTGCCAAAGCATTTTCCCAGCCGCCGGTCCGCCTGCCTTTGGACCGGTTCCTTACCAAAACAAATAGGCCTAACAAATAATCTTTGATAGTGTACGCTCATAAAGGCAAACAATGAATACTACTATGGTGTGTTTTTCAGGTGGCACCAGTGCTGACTGGAGTTGCCACACAGGAAAGCAAAGCAGTCGGTCCCACTGGCTGGGCCAGCTCCCGGGGGCTCAGTGACTTCCAGCATCTCACGCTCTCTCAGTGAGTGACTCAGTTTCCCTGCCTTGGGCAGCATAGGTCCTTCTCCTAAGATGTCACAGCGCGTCTGGGTGCTGTCTGCTTGGGATGAGATGGGAAAGAAAAACAAATGAGAGCTCCAGGCACACCCTGGCCCGCTGGGGCCCTCCCGGCACCTTGGGAAGGTGCCACTTAGGGTCAGCTGGTCTGGCCCACTTCCTGGTGGGGACAGCGGATCACACAGGCCTCTGCGTGAGGGGAAGGAGGTCCAGATGCGGCGCAGTCTTGCACCGGAGGTGAGAAGGTGACCGGTGGTCGGGACAGGCCCAGCAAACCTGGCCACGGGAATCACCTCCTCCTCGCATCTGCTCAGGAAGGACGTCAGCAACACAGACTAAACACAGCCCTGAGCAGGATTGTGTGTGTGGCCCGTGGGAGCCAGGTCCTTCCTCTCTGCAGGGGGACACGGAGGCAGGCCAGACACCCGGCCCGGCCACTCTTGAGGAGAAGCAGAACAGTCCTCGACTGTCACCAAGGCTTGTGGGGGCTGGGGCGCCCCAAAGGAGTCTGTGCCTGGGCCCCAGGACAGGGGACTCCCACCTTAGGGCTTCCCTGTTCCCCTGAGCTGTCCTTTAGTGGCCAAGCACCCCCATACAAGTGGGGGACTCCTGTCCCAGGCCTGACCTGAGGTCTCCATGAGAGTTAGACACCCGGGCCTTGGAGGAGCCTTGGCCCAGGTTCCAGCACCCGATGCTAGAGAAGGGCAGACTGGATCCAGCCCATCATTCTAGCAGCCATTTTTATCTTGGGCCAACTCACTTTTGTGAGCCTCAGTTTCCCTCCCTGTGACTCCAAAGGCCTGGCTTTGATTACATTCTGATGTCCCAGCAGGACATCGAAGAGGCTGGGCAGAGTCTGAAGCCCACCTTCCCTAGCCTCCTTTGCCAAAACTCTGTGAGGACAAACGAGGGGGCTCCTCCTCTTCCTGGGGTCCTGAGGTTCCCAAGCGTGTGAGGTCCAGATTGGAGCCTCTGAGAGCTGGCAGGGAGCAAAGGTCTGTCCCTTACTTGTTTACTTACATGTTCCCCAGTCCTTCCCTGGCAGGAGCATCTCTGGAATCCGGTGTGAGCAGGGAATGAGCGAGTCAGCGTATTCTCCGCATACAACAGCGTCCAGCTCACTGTCCATAAACTTGCTTCCTGCGTCCTCTCACACAGATGCCGGCACTGGCAGTCCTCCTCTATGCCAGCTACTAGAATAATGCCCGGCACGCGGCCCCTGCCAGCATCTGTGGAGCGAGGAGGTTAGTGACAATGTCCTTGGTCTGAAATGCACTCCTCTTGTTGGACGCTAGCACCTAAAGTGGAGAAGGCACCGCCAATGGGATCTGCTACTCTCAGCTCCTCTTAGGGAGGCCACAGATAAATGTGCCTTGTAAACATCTGAGCTCAGGGAGGCGCAACAGCGTAAAGAGGTGGGGGCTGTGCGCCCTGGCTAAGGTCTTTGCTTCTGCAGCTTCCGTCTGGGCACAGCACATGGTCGGGGCCTCAGGAGGCTTGATGGGGTGGCTGTTCACATCCCGCGGTTTTGTCTGCCTTCTTCACTGTGCTCATTAGAGTCTGTGCCCAGCACACAGATTCAGCTTTCAGGAATATTCACGGTCTGCCCCAAACAAAGAAAAACAAAAGCCACCCCCCCATCTGGTGGGCGGGAAGATGCTGATTCCAGCGGGGCTCCAGCGGTTGTGCACTCCAGCAAGGGGGGCTTTGGAAAAAAATCAGTTTCTGGGGCCCCTGCAGCCCAGGGGCACCCTGTGCACTTAGCAAAATTCCAGAGCCTGAACTCAATCCTCAGCACTGCAAAATATGT